CGCTGAAAATAATAACGAATAAGAACCTCCTCTTTGCCCACGGCTGCTCCACATGTAGACAAGAATTGGTAAGTTTCCTCGAGCTCTTCTGAGCAGTTCAAGCACTTAAAAAACACATCCATTCTCGCGACAGATCACCACATGCGAAGATAACAAATAAAATAGCGGGGAATGATTCTGGCGCATAACATGTCAGCGCCTGAGTAACGATGGCTGATAGCCTTCTGCTTCATTTGTATCGCTTTGTATAGTAACAAATCAACACCGAAAATGTGTCTCAGTGCTGTTCGCAGGTTATGACAAATCCTGCAGTATTGTAATCGGGAAAATTTTGTGTTACGTTTCGCAAATATTGTGTTGTGTTTTCTAATTCGTGTTGTGTTTTGGTAAAATTGTGTTGTGTTTTGCAAATACCGGATTGTGTTTCGATGACACTGTGTTGTTTCGATAATACTGTGTTGTGTTTCGATGACATTTGTGTTGTGTTTCGATAATATTGTGTTGTGTTTCAATAACACTGTCTTGTGTTTCGATAACAGTTTGTTGTGTTCAGATAATATACTATGTTGTGTTTGGAAAAGTGTTTGTTGTCTTTCAAGAACTTTTTGTTGTGTTTGCAGACATGGGCCACCGTAATTTTCGCTTACTTGAGGTCATCAACAAAGGAAAATCTTGCTTACTACGTAGAAAGTTGACAGGTATGTTATGCGAACCGATATCATTTCTTAGACCCTGCGGATGGTTGCTATTTTTATGAAATAAACTCGGATTCCTAAATACTTGAAAACTTATTTATAGCTTAAATAAGCCTTGTTCACTTAACCTGATTTTTTCCAATTGTTTAAAATTTAGTCGTAGTGGGTGTAAAATTCTAAGAAGGTTCTTCAGAGGATTTCTATAACGGCACTAAACCACAGGTAGTTTGGACTCCTAACTGACTTGTTGTTGTGAAGTACATCACAGTTTATTTATTCGTTCAGTGTATTCACCAAGACAGTTAGCTAGTCAGTTAGTAATTAAGACACTCAAGGCATTAGGTTTGGTGTCTTGGTAGAATAAACACAAAGCAATGATTGCTTATAATCTTGTACAACTTTTGCAATCTTTTAAATTATTGTCTTGTAGAAATATGGTTGATCTTAAACTATCAATTTGAATTTTTATTCTTTATCACATCTATTTTTAAATCACTGGTGATCCTTGTAACTTGATTGGCTCTCATGATTGGTGCAAATTACTCATGAATCACACCCTGTTGGCTTTAATAATAAATCACATATAATGTTCCCAGTATACAGAGAAGGTTTATTAACCAATTGCTGGTGTCGAGAAACGAATCAAATTGTAAGAAAATCAAAAACAGCCTTTGCAATTTTCTACAAATTAGCTCACAACTTGATCAACATAACATTTGAACACCAAAAAAACATTCTACAACTGAATTTTGCGATTCCAAAATGGATGTAATAAAGTGTAGGGAATTGAACTTCATGCCATGCAATTTTGGTCTGAAATCATACTATCTTGTGTTTTGAAATCAAACTCATGCTGCAAGCTTAAGCTTCTTTGATTGGGAATCACACATATGATTTCAGACCAAAATGCTCTCCACTTAGCTCAGTTACCTTTATTTATTTGCATTCTGTGATAATTTGATGATATAAAGGTTCCTATTTCCTCAAAATTCCATTCTGAACTATGAATCTTTGATTAATGATTCCTTCTAATTCTTCTTACCTATTAGATGGTGTGGGAAATCAAGAATTCTCTTCCATTATTTTCCCCCTATTACCACTAAGGTCACCAATTTTTTTCTTTTAGAAATAATTGGGAGTCATCATTTCAATAATGGATATGCCAGAGATAAAGGTATTCAAAATAACATTTATGTTTGGAATATATTAAGTATTAAAGCATATTTTTTTCCTCCACTGTATGTTATTTGCACTGCAGGAAACTTCTCTCTTCTTCCTTAAACTGGTTTAAAGGAGAGTTTGGGTTAAAAGGTTCCCTGTCCACATAAGATTTACATTTGGATCCCTCTGTGCCAGTGTTGATAAGCTTTTGGGAATTTTGAAAGTTACTACAAAATATTATTAAATATTATAGCTACAGTTTTATCTGCCGCATTCTCAGAATTTAAGTGAGCCCTATTAGCAGTGCAGTATAGTGTAGGTCAATAACTGTTCTATGGTAATTAAAGTACTTCTTTATGTCAGTGCTGAGAGGTGATCCCCAGCAAGGTGCCAGTCTTAGCTTTCAAATTCATGAGTCAAATTCATGAGTCACCATACCAAAAACAACTTAATTACCTGCCACAAAATTAATATTTTTGACAATGAAGAAAATAATAACGTCACTCTTTC